ACTCAGATCCTTCTAAAATACATTTCTTCCCTTATTTTGAAGGCCACTGTATAGGCACCAGGGCTAATGGAACCAGTCTCTTCCTTTGATCATCAATAGAGTCATCTTTTTGGGAAACCAAGTCCCAGCTCAGATGACAGTTTTAAATGTGGCTGACATGAAGGAGAGAAGGACTGTTTAATTATTCGTCCCCTGAAAAGCAGGTGTTTTATCTCTTGGGATTCATAAATCTTCAGTTGAGACCATAGCAGGAACTCTGTCAGATCTTGTGGGTTAGATGGGGGGGAAAACATTTGATTTTTATTTTTTTTTGCCCAGGGAAGTGTGCAGGATCTTGTTTTATGGGTCAGCCTAGCATACAGCTCCAGCCTGCTGGTTCTAGGTGACAGATTTTAGTCAAGTGAGAATTAACAATTAATGTAATGCGAGTACATTTATTTAATCTCCTAACGCTTGGAGAAGGCTTGGGAAGGTGTGCAGTGAATAGCCTGGCATATAGTAGATGCTCAGTGAATGCTCACAATAATCAAATGTAAAGCATGGTTAAAAGGCAAGCATAAGAAAGTACCTGGCTAGCTTCAGCAACTGCTTTCCATTTTCTGTGTATGCCTGTCTGCTCTGGAAAGGGGTAGAAGGGATTATGGCATTTAACTAGCCATGTGCTGTCCCATAGGTAACCAGTAGCCATATGTGGCTATTGAGCACTTAGAATATGGCTCGTATAAATTGAGATGTGCAGTAAGATGTGCAGTAAGTACATACTGGATTTTGAAAAATTAGTATTAAAAAATAATACAAATATGGGGTGGCTGGGTGGTTCAGTGGGTTAAGCCTCTGCCTTTGGCTCAGGTCATAATCTCAGGGTCCTGGGATTGAGCCCCACATTGGGCTCTCTATTCAGCAAGGAGCCTGCTTCCCCCTCTCTCTCTGCCTGCCTCTCTGCCTACTTGTGATCTTTATGTCAAATACATAAAATCTTTTTTTAAAAAAAGAATACAAATATCAAGAAATAATATATTTATATTGATTAGATGTTGAATATTTTTATTATACTGGAGCTAAATAAAATACATTAATATTTCACCTGTAAATGTGACTAGTAGAAGGGTGCCTGGGTGGCTCCATCCTTAGGTGGCTGCCTTCAGCTCAGGGTCGTGATCCCAGGGTCCAAGGATGGCCCTGCATCGGGCTCCCTGCTCAGGGAGAGGCCTGCCTCTCCCTCTCCCCCTGCTTATGTGTTCCCTCTCTCGCTGTGTCTCCCTGTCAAATAAATAAATACAGTCTTTTAAAAAATAAAATAAAAAATAAATGAGACTAGTAGAAAATTTAAAATTACCTTTGTGGCTCACATTATTGGAGAGTGCTGATCTATACTTTAGAGATAATCTAGGCAATGAAACATCTCTGCTTTTAAGAAGCAAATGGTTGACAAGCTCTCTGAAAAAATATAACTTGTACCCATTGCAGGAGTTGGCCCTGAAGGGGTGGGGCCAGGCAGCCCTGAAGGTCTGGAGGCTCTGACTCCAGCGCAGAAGTAGGATGGCCCACACAGGGGCCTTGAGGGGAACATAGAGAATGGGTTCTTGTGATCCTAGTGTTTCTCCACCATTCTGTGGAGTAACTCCACAGCAGAGAAACTTACCAGCTTTCTTTCTTTCTTTTTTGAAAAAATATTTTATTTATTTATTTGACAGACAGAGATTACAAGTAGACAGAGAGAGAGGGGGAGGGGGAAGCAGGCTCACTGCTAAGCAGAGAGCCCAATGCGAGGCTCAATCCCAGGATCCTGAGATCATGACCTGAGCGGAAGGCAGAGGCTTTAACCCACTGAACCACCCAGGCGCCCCCTTACCAGCTTTCTTGACTTTTCCATTTCCCTGAGTGTGTGGGCCATAGCTCTAGGAGGAGTCTGAGGCTAGGACCCAACAGGCACTTCTTCAAGACAAGACCCACCTGTACAGCTTGCCTGTACATTTGCTGGCAGGGGTCAGGTCCCAGAACCCCTGAAGCAGCCCTCAGCTGTGATTATTGAGCATCCTGGAAGAAGGGATTTTTCCCTCTGGGAAACGGGTGGCGACTGAGGAATCCCTGTCTCCGCCTCCACTTCAGATCCCGCGGTCCTGCCTCCGCATCCCCGGGGAACTGCGTTGGTGTGGGCGGTTGGGACTCTCAACAACTGAGCTTTGTTACCCTTGGTTGTAGAAAGGGGAATGGGAAGAGGAAGGAAAAGTCCTACAGTCCTCAAGGCTTTCCATTAGCTATCATGTTTTCTCCCTCCGTCTCTTACTTCTTAGGTTCCTGCTGGGGTTATGGCAAAGGTAGTATAGCTGGATTCTGGAGGGAAATGCCTTTAAGTCTCCCTAGGTGGCCCTCAGCTCTCAGCTCTGGAAAGCAGGTCCCAGTGCGAGCCGAACTAGAAAAAGGGGAACGTCTCCTCCAGGGATGGGGTCTGAAGAGACAGTCTTAGCTTTGGGAGCAAGCAGGGAGCTGAGTGCAGCCTATGTGAAATAGTGGGGAGGGTAAGGACCAAACAGGCGGTCTTCCCCTTCCCTCCCCTTCTCTGGATCCTGAGAACACTCTGGTTACCCGTGTAAGGCAGAATTCTGAGAAAGTGTTTGCAGTGCCTTGGTTCCAAGGTAATAGTCACCCAAAGAAATTTTTTTACTGCCCCTGTTCCCAAAGGGACATTCAATAATCTCTTCAACTTCTGCTTGGGAAACAGAAATAGTTTCAGCTCTGGAATGAGGTTGAAATCCCATCCCCAAGGCTGGGTGCAAATCTGTAGCCACAGTCTGTGTAGGGACTGAGCGTAGGAAACGTGTAGACACAACTAGGCTGTTTACCGAGACCAAAGGCTGGTTGTACACTCACCACGCCCTCAGTAGTCACTTGGCTTTTAGGGGCTTAGGGGACAGGACAGCTTGGCTTTCACTCGCTGGGTAAGCTCTTCTCATTGAGAGGGAAGTGGTCATCAGTAAAGTGTGGATCGTCACCCCCAGCACCACTTCACAAGTCCCCTTGGTTTCGGTTTCCCTCTAGCCCTGCGGGAGATCAATAGACCAGGGCTAAAGAGGGAGGAAACGACCCCTGAAAGTCTACTCTTTTCCCTCTCTGTGGCTGCCTGCTCTCCGGTTTTCAGTCCTTAATCATTATAATCAGTTAAGAAAGAAAGAAAGGAAGGAAGGAAGGAAGGAAGGAAGGAAGGAAGGAAGGAAGGAAATCAATCAATCAATCACAGTTCAGACTCCCAGGACAAAGCGTTCTTGCCAAGATCTTACTTTAAAGTTACCTCCTTTCTTCTTCCCCTTCCTCTCACTCTCATCTGTTTACCATTTACCAGTTCATCCGCACGGAATACGCTCCCACTTCCTGGTGCACTGTAGTTTGGGGCCTAATTGATTCTGGTAATTAATTTGTTCTACCTGCTAGATCAGATGGAAATCCTACCCTCCCACCCAAGGATTAGCACTTGGCTTTCTAACACCTCCTCTAATTATCTAATAGCATGGGTTGTGAGGACTCAGTCTCTATTAAAACACTTTTACTATTAGCAGTAGTGATTGGAATTGTGATGACGACTAGATTTCAACAAATTAGAGCTTAAAAATGGGGAGATGGAAGAGAAGTGGCTTCTTTTAATTTCCCTGAGTTTAACATCAATAATTAGAGCAATTTTCAGAGATGCGAGCTGAAATTACCCCTGCTGTGCTGTAGATGATCACCTTAATTTTAGCAAATTGACTCCAGGGAAATAAATGCGACAGATTAGAAAGAGGCAAACAGAAAAGGGGGGAAAAAAACCAACAACAACAAAAAAAACCCCAAAAGATTGGGAGGTAGGGAAATGAGAAGAAAGGCTGGGAAAGAACACGAGACAAAAGTCTAGGACAACTGTTTTGGTGGGTTAAGGTTGAAAATGGTAGCGTGACAGAAATAGGAAAGCTGTGTGAGTGGGATGATGGGGAAGTAAAGGACATTTGAGAGGAGATGGAGGCTGGCATTAAGAACTAGCTCTGGACATAGTTACACAGACCAAATTGCTTCCTAATGTAGATATAACTTTCTTCATACCACCCTCTATAATTGAGGGAAAGAATGTTATGGTCATCAACATTTTTTTATTTACCTCAACAGTCCTTACATGCCTCAGCCAGCAACTGAAGTTGGGTGTAGCAAATATGGACCTTCTTGTCACTTTTCCCTTTCTCCATCCTGCTAGCAAGTCTCTAAACTTGGACAACCCAGGCCCAAATGCCAAACTAAATGCCTTATCCCTATTGCTTTGGGACCCTTTAAGTGTTTTTTGCTCTCTAAAGGAAGTCTGTCGAATGACAGAATTTTTCTTTTTAGCTTTCTTTAAAAATGCCTGAGAGAGGGGCGCCTGGGTGTCTCAGTCGTTAAGCGTCTGCCTTCGGCTCAGGTCACGATCCCCGGGTCCTGGGATGGAGCCCCACATAGAGCTCCCTGCTCAGCCGGAAGCCTGTTTCTCCCTCTCCCACTCCCCCAGCTTGTGTTCCCTCTCTCACTGTGTGTCTCTCTGTCAAATAAATAAATAAATAAATAAATAAATAAAACCTTAAAAAAATAAAATGCCTGAGAGAAAAAAAAAAAGAAAAAGAAAAACCCCTCAAATTGAGGGGGTGAAACCAACCTCTTAGGAGCAAGGACCCTGTCTGCTCCGCTCTCCTGGCCTGGCCGGTCGTATTCAGCACGGCGGACAGCTCCCCGCCCCGCCCCGAGCCCACCGCACCCTCCCCTCCGCCGCTGGCAGCCTTGCCATTGGCTCTCCCAGCTCCCCTCTTGAAGCTGCCAATTCTACACATAGACCCAACCTACCCAGGAGCTTGTCTTCTCGCCTCTCCAGCGCCGGGGGTAGCCCAGGCCCGGGAGAGAGCCGCGGGGTTTCCGAGCCTCGGAGGTTCCTTGTCGGCGTTCGACCAGGTTTGCGGAGACCGCTTGCTTCCTACAGTTCGTCCCCGGCCTTCACCCTGTGACAGACGCTTGGCTCAAGATGAACCTCAACTTCACCGCCCCTCTACACCCAGCGTCTTCTCAGAGGCCCACATCCTTCTTCATTGAGGACATCCTGCTGCACAAGCCCAAGCCACTAAGGGAGATGGCCCCTGACCACTTTGCCAGCTCTCTGGCCTCCCGGGTGCCTCTGCTAGACTACGGCTACCCCCTCATGCCCACACCCACCCTCCTGGCTCCTCACCCCCATCACCCTCTGCATAAGGGAGACCATCACCACCCTTATTTCCTCACCACCTCGGGTAAGTAACAGGGGATTCAAGGTTTGGGGGAGCGGGAGAGCAGGTCTCCCAGTGCAGACCCTAAGCTTGTGGTAGAGCTGAGGAAAGGCCAGAGTTGGTTTGGCCTGGTTTGTCAGCTTCCTTCCCCAAGTGACAGTGGAACATTGGGCATATATGGGTGAGAACATGCAGAGCTCCCTTGAGGCATTGCCAACCCACTGGGGATAAGTTACAGTCTCTCCACAGGCATTATAATGAAGGAAACCTTCCTAGCCAAGAGGTGGCTGGAGGTTTTGACAATATTCTTGGTGAATAGTGCTCAGTCTCCTTCTTAGTGGTCTTCCTGGTCACTGTGGTCCAGCTCTCAATCCTGATTCTCTGCCTCCCCTTGCTCTAGGGGAGACCGGTGACCACCCCCCCCTCCATGAAGCAGAACTCCACTTTCTAGCTCATTTACTCAAAAGGCTCCAGCGGGTCCAGCGCTCTTCTCTCGGGCGCCGAGCATTCGCGGATATACTGCTTCAGCGTAGAAGTGAATGAGGGTTTGGGATACTCTGAGGACTGAAGGTTTGACCTGACCAGAATAGGGGGGAAAAGGGTAAGAAAAAAAAGTGTGTGTGTTGGGGTGGGAGGAGGGACACCGCTCCTCATTAACCCTCTACACTCCCACCGTCTAACTCACAATCTTGGGCTCAGCTGCCCATGCCCCGTTGCTGGTGAAGCTGGAGCCCCACGCCAAAGTATTTTGATTTTCCATGAATGACAAAGACCGGGGCCAGCAAAGTGGTTGGGACAGGGAGATGTGAAGAAATACCCAGATGTTTTCTGCCGCTCTCTGCAAGGACATTCGTGCTTTCTTCTTCGACACGACATTTTCATTCCAGTTGCAGTATAATAATTCCTTGAGTCCGGATGCAGAGTGCAAGTGGGAAAACAACCCCGTCTCCGCCAGGGCCGTGGAAACCCCTGAGACAGTTTGTGAAATGCATGCTCTGGAATCTAGGACAAAAGCTAAAAGTTTTTTGAAGCAGTAAAACCCAGATTCTGAGGCACTGGGTTGGCAGGGCCCTTAGAGAAGCTGTGTGGAAGCCTGCATGTTGGTGTTCATCTTGGTATTGGCCTCACTCCCTGGCCCATGACAGCCTGTTCTGGGCTGCACCCACCTTCCCCCCAGATAGCAGTGGCCAAAGCCTGGGATGCCAGAATCGCTTGTTTCCTCCACTGCCCTCCCCCCATCCCACTGACAAACTGATGTCTGTGGCAGTTTACTTGGTGTGTCTCAGACACCATAATGCCTGCAGAGGTCAGGAAAGACAAGAGACGTCTCCCCCTGACCTGGTCGGGGGAGGGAAGTGCTTCAGTGTTTCTGCTTAGGGTCGAAGGAGAGAAAGAATAAGGATGAAGATAAGATTAGAGATGGGGTCCCCAGCGGTCCCCGCAACTGACAATGAAACGTGCCAGGCGGGAATTGCTCCTCGGTTCTTGCTTCTGAAAAGCTCCTGTTGAGACAGTTTTGATCTGTTCCCTTTGGCCTCAGGCAGGAGAATGGGGGCAGCACGGAAAGAGAAAGGTGTTTTTTAGGTTGGGAAGCAGGGCCACATTCATCATGCCTCTACTAGCTCCAGAACAACACAGTGTCCTTAGGGGAGCTACTGGGCCAGCCGACGTTTGCAAGAAAACTTCGGACACGCCACAGAGGACTGGCAGACGCTGCGAGAGTCCTTCCAAGAAGACATTTTCTAAGGCCTCCAGTTTAAAATTTTTCTTTTCTATTTGACTTACTGTTTATTGTTTGTAGGTCTAGACGACCTGCCGGATAAAGATCTCCAAGCGCTGTTCTTGTCATTTTTTATTTCCCCTCCCCCTGCGGTTCCTGGGAGAAGGGCTGGAGAGGCTTTGGGGCGACGAGAGGACTAGCGGAGGCAAGAAGCGGAGGGAGGCGCCGGGGACTGGGTGGATAGTGCGGCCGGAGGTGGCTCCCGGGGATCGCGCTCTACCCACTCGCGGCTTTTCTCTCTGCAGGGATGCCTGTGCCGGCGCTGTTCCCGCACCCCCAGCACACCGAGCTGCCCGGGAAGCACTGCCGCCGCCGCAAAGCTCGCACGGTTTTCTCGGACTCGCAGCTCTCCGGCCTGGAGAAGAGATTCGAGATCCAGCGCTACCTGTCCACGCCAGAGCGGGTGGAGCTGGCCACGGCCCTCAGCCTGTCCGAGACGCAGGTGGGCCCGAGAGGGGCAGTTCTGATCGCCGCCGCTCTTTCCTCTCCCCTTAAGTCCTACCACCTCTGCACCCAGTGCCGAGCTCTCGAGTGGGAGTGACCCCCCTCCCCTTTATTCTAGGCTTCCCCAAAGATCCTTAGTAAAAGTACCGACACCTCCAACCTCAGGGCAGACTTACGGAAGCATCATCGCTCGAGCAAGCTCTGGACGGGGTGGGGAGAAACTCCTCGGCGTTCCTGACGAGCGCTCCTGGTTTGCGAACGATTAGTTAGTTCTCTGCTGCCCCGCCTCTCCTCTCCGATCAGGCTGTAACCCTGGTCCGACGTAAAATAAGAGACTAGACGGGTTTTTGTCCTGAGCGAAGTCCACACAGGGAATTTTTTTTTCTTATTTTAATCTCTCACAGGCGCAAATTCTCCAATCCAGCCTCCTCACTCCCCCACTGTAATGTAAGCGCCGAAATTACCGCTGTTTTGAGAGGGAGAACGGTTTTCATCTTCCAGATTCTGTTCACCTGCAACCTTCAAACTCCCTCCTCCAGTTCTTCTCTCTTATATTGTCTGTACCTGGGAGCCCAACTTTCTGGGAAATCGTTAGCCCCGCCGGGCGCCCCTGACTTTTCTCTCTGATGAGAACCAGCAAGGTTGATTCTCATCTTCCTGTCCAGCAAGACCAGGTGTTTAGAGGCCAAAACGAGGGGAATGTAAGTTAAACATAAAGGAGACTCATCCACGCAGCACTTACTATTTGTAATTATAATTGATAACAGTATTAGTGTTAACTAAGCACACCATTTTGTCCTTGATCATTATTTTGGACAATTACTTCCAGGAGCCTTAGGATGCTTGATTCTCACTTAGCCGAACACGGTAACTTGTGAGCAGTTCAGGTGTGATTTAACCCAAGGATGAGACTCCCACAGCTCTTGGATAATTTCTGAGTGGGTTGTGGTCCGTTTTCCTAACCCCCAGCCATCTCTCAGATCCTAGTAACGACGAGTCTGAAGGAATGACGTGGTTGTATTTTTTTTTTTTTCCCTCCCTGAAATCAGGTGAAAACGTGGTTCCAGAACCGGCGGATGAAGCATAAAAAGCAGCTGAGGAAAAGTCAGGACGAGCCCAAAGCGCCAGATGGGCCCGAGAGCCCTGAGGGCAGCCCCCGCGGCCCTGAGGCCGCAGGTGCAGAGGCTCGCTTGGGCCTGCCCGCTGGCCCCTTCGTGCTGACCGAGCCCGAGGACGAGGTGGACATTGGGGACGAGGGGGAGCTGGGCCCAGGGCCGCACGTGCTCTGAGCCGCGTGGCTGGGGAGGCGGGGAGCACGCGGCGGGGCGGGACGCGGTTCCCTCCAGGATGCCGAACGCTCGGACTCGGGTGCGGGGGCGGGCCTCGAAGATCCGCTCCTGGAAGACAAAACAAAACACACCTGTCAACCCTCCAACTCGCGCGGCGCCCAGTGGCTCGGCCCACGCCCTCCTCTGCGTCCCGCCCGCCGGCTCCCTGCCGGGCGAGCGTGCACCTGCGTTAGCTCATTCCCGCGCCCCGCGTCTTAAGTGGCGCAAGCTGGACCCTGGGCTCTAAATCCGCCGCGATCACAGACCCTTTCGGCCCTCTTCTCTCCGCCACCTGCCCCCAGCTCTGTTGTCCAGGCTCCGAGACCTCTCCACCCGGACCCTTTGCCGTTCCTTGGGTAGACCAATTGGCTGCAGGTAAGGGACCGGGAGTGTGGGCCGTATGGTCTGCGGGGATCCAGGTAGAACGACAACCAAATGCTTAAGTTGTCTTTGCCGGACAGACTCGCGCGCTGCTAGCCACAAACCTTCCACTGGGGTTCCCGCACTACACATCTCTAACTCAAAAACTATGGCGACAGTCCCTCCTTCGGGCGGCGCTTCCATCCTCTCCTTTAACTGTTCCTCTCCTGACCTTCCGGTTCGGCACCCTGGCACCCTTAAGCTTGTGGCCCCCGGGGGCACCCGCTCTACACGTCCCCCCCCCCCAAGTCCCAATACTGAGCGGCGCCCACGCGCGGTGAGAAACTTGGACAGGAAAACCTACTGAGCAGTTTCTGCCTCCCGACCTGGCTGCATCTGTCCCGGAACTCTTACACGGCCTGTGGGCTACTGATATTTTAAAAGTGCGTGTTCCTTGGACTGTGTGCGGAAATGCTCGTTTTCGTTGCATTTTAGGGAATGCGGCGCTTTAGCGGGATTAAAGCTAAGCAAGCATCCGCTTCCGGACGTGCGCCGGCGTGCGGACTGTTGCGGTGGGGCAGGAGTCTAGCCCAGCGCGTCGCCCCTCTCCCTTTCCCCTAGGAGGTCTCCTATTCTCTTCCTCGGGCTTGCAGTCTCTTTAGATAATAAAGGGCTCGCCGCGCAAAACTGGGAACGAACCGAGTTTCCGGGAATCGTTTGTTAACGCGTCCTCCTCCGCGCACGCCCCCTCCCCTCCACCCCAGGCAGTGTCCTGCTTTCCAAAGGAGCGAACAGGGCTAATAACCTTTCCTTGACCGATGCCGTCTCTCCCGTCCCGATTTTTCTGTTTTTAATCGTTTTGTGGTCTTGAGTTCCACCTGTGTGTAAAAAGTCACCGCAAATGGTATTTTTTTGACTCTCAAATAACGAAGGGACAGAGCGCCCTTGATATCTGGAGTTTGAAATTACGCTAACAAACTGTGTGATGACCCTACGCACCCGGTATACTTATCAGATATAAGGTCTAGCAACCTGCCTGAGGAGAGCTTCGCTTCCGATCTTCCTTTGGCTCTGGTTGTGTATTTAGGTAAGTGAGCCCTGGAAGGCTGGAGAAGAGTGTGTGGCTAAGTAGAATCATGACCCTTGGGTTCGAACGATGAATAATAATTATAGAGACTATGATTGTGTGAGCTTGGGTTACAGTTAATCTTTTTTGTCTCTTTGTTCTAAAAGGATGAATCCTAAATATTTCTCTAGGTGTAAGTTCTATGCATATAGCCCGAGGAAATTTTTCATTTTCTTTTCTTTCCTCCCCGCCCCCCCCCCCCACAGGTTTGTTCCAGGAAACACTAATTTAGGCAAAGATAAGTGTCAGGGTGAGACCTCTATCCAGCCGGCATCATTTAGGAGACCAAGTTATTGCTTTGAAAACATAAGCATTGTAGAGCTCTTTCGATTTTCCAAAGCGCTCTTTATCAATCAAGATCTAGTGAGTCCTAGACAACAAAGACTAGTTTTTCTTTTCAGAGTTAAGTAAATCGAGGGTTGGCAGGCCTAAAGGATCCACCTATGAAATTAGTACTAGCTGAAGTCAAAGCAAGACTAAAAAAAAAAAAAAATTCTTTTTTTGACTCCTTGTTCATTTCTTTGTCCAACACTGTTTTCCTCCAACAATGCACCGGTCAGCATTTTGCCTCTCTCACTTTATATGAACACCTCTCCCATTGATTTAAGTTGTGTAGATGTGCTGTTAACAAATCTACACTTCAGTTTCTCCTCTCTCCCTGTTCAGATAATGACAGTACCTTTTTAAGGCCGGAGTTTTGGGCTAGTGCTTTGCAAAAAGACAAAAGACTTGGTTATGGGGGTGGGTAGTGATTTGTGACGACTTGGAAGGGAGAGTAGATACTGTTACATGAGGAGAGAATCTCCCATTCTTGTAATACTAGATAAGCTACTAAAAGGGATTTGGGGAGAATTTTTCAAGTGAGTAAAAATACTATGTTTTTGGAGGACATTTAAAAAATGTTTAATTAGATACTTAACACAAACACAAAAGCTCAAGACATTTAGGTCTTTTTTTCCGTCTTCACAAGAAGAAGCCAGGCTTTATTTTGGCTCTGAGAGAAGCAGATTCGGCACATTTCATGATCTTTTGAAAAGGCAGGTAAATAGGAAACATTGTCAGCGAGGGCAAAGCTCCTCCTGATTGGAGGCCGAATGAATGAATCCTGGAGCCCAGGGAATGGCTGTATCTTTGATTCATGAGCATTAAACAGGGGAAGATGCTTGTTCTGCCATATCCTGGTCCTCCGTTTGTGGCTGTTGTTGGCCAGCTCGCACCTGCAGCACCAGCCACACGGGCATGGTTTTCTCATCAGACCGTGTTCCTGAAATTGATGGCAAACAATTCAATAGCAAAGTTCTCCTGGTTTTCCTTTTCTTTCTTATATACAGTGGGTTAGTGATGATATGGAGGATAGACACAATTTAGTTTCAATTTAAGGTAACATGATGGCAGTGTTTGTTTTTGGCCTTCAACACCGATCAAAGCCTGAAGAGGTATTTTGTCTGAATTACCTCGGCTTTTGCCTCACTTCATTTTGACTTGGTGGTAAAGATCTGGCAAAATCACGCTCACTAGGGTATATTAAAGACATAGGCCCATTCTGAAGGGATAAAAACATCTTAAAATAGCCAAGGTGGGCACGTCGTCCTACATGTAATCCCAAATAGAGTAAATAATTTGTTCTGAATTTGTTCTTAACGCTGTTTGCAATAGACTTCATTTCACAGATTCTCAGAGAAGGACTCTTGATTCTATTTCCGCCCACATGATCTAAGAACATAAATGGATAGTACACCAATTCTGCCCGGTATTAGTGGATAGTGGCCCTAAGAAATAATTAATTGGGATTCATGACACCACTTCAAAAGGTAGAGGACTGGCTCCCATCCATGTGTTTGGTAACTAGAGCTAAAGACATGTGGAGGCACAGAGCAAGCAGAATGCTTTTGTTGCTAAGAGAATTGGGCAATAAACATACTGAGTTGGAGTGGTGACCCCCTAGTCTTGAGCTGGGCTCAGGCCATGTGCAGAAATAATGAGTTAAGGAAATATTTGATATTTATGTTGTGCTCTTGGCATCACGTTTTATAGAGGCTGTTGACAAGCTAAAAGTCAACCAGTATACAAAAGCCTGGTAGTAAAATGTGTGGAAAACATAGGGGAGTAAGAGCTGCTTAGCTTAGAGAAGCCGATTATTGGGCAGTGGTAGGAGAGGAGATTATGATAGTTGTAGTTGATGATTACAGGGCTCCTCAGTATTAAGGGGTGTATCTATGCAGCTCTGCTAAAGAAGGCAGAACCAGAACCAATGGGTGTTTCCAGGGAAACAGATTTTGGAACATTTGCATATCTCCTATAGACCAGTAGTGTGCTGTTTATCAGTAGAACAGGCTAAGTCCAGAAAACACCAAGCACCTTTCACTGGAAAAGTTTGAGCAGAAGCTGGAAAGCAAAACCCTAGAGGCTGGGAGGATCTGTTACGGTTCTTCATTGGTGAGAAGGTGAACTGGTTTGGTTTTTTCTAACCCTTAAGATCCTAGTATCCTATCTTCTTTTTGTAGGAAAGAAACTATAAATTCCAACTTATTAAAGTTGTCCTCTCACTAAGATTTCAGTTCATGTGCTCTAAATAAATATATCTAGAACAATAAGAATTAGGAGAAACCAGAAAATGAAAAGGGTATTCTTTTATTCATTATGGAAGTCTCCAGTGCCCCATTTGAGAAAGTAAGAAAACAAAGTGAGGATCACTGGAGTTAAGGACAACTAGATAGGAAGGGATGGTCAGTGTTAGAGAACTTTAACAAAATCTAAGCCCTTCTTTTTATAAGAGAAGAAATTAGGATCCAGGTATCATGAATGCCTTGTCAGTGTTAAAGAGACAGTGACAGACTTCAGACTACAAGCCGGTTCTCATGATCCTATTTTACCACTAATTCATGTAGTGATAAAAGTGATATGCGGGGGGTGGGGGGGAGCTATTGTTCTTGTATCCTGTAGAGGAAAGGATTTTGCATAATAATTTTGGATATAAAATTTTAAAATTAGCTGGAACTCATCTAGTAAAATCTTAGATCAATTTACGGAAAAACTTTTGATGAAGAACCATCTGAAATCCTAATTCTTGTTAAAGAGGTACTGAGCCCCTTAGCCCTTCTCATTCAAGCCAAAATTGGGTAACTACTTGCCGGGATGTTTTTGAAGAGGTTCACGTATTGAGTAGGATGAAAAATTGAAAATCTTGCCTAATCTTTACAGACAAGGCCACTAAGAGTCTGAGAGATTGACTTGCTCAATGTCCTACAACTGATTAATTTGATGAGTTACAAATTAATACTTGTAGAGATCTGTGATCATTCCAATAAATATTTAGGAGACAAAAAATTTGATATGATTCTGTTTTCTGTCCAGATTCTCTCCATTGTATTTTCTGGTTTTAATTCTCACTCCCAAAGATACCTTTCTTTATTTTATTTATTCTCTCCTAAAATTCCAAGTATGTACACCAGATAACTTTTCCTCCATTATTTTG